GAGCAAGTTTTCTACATCATTGGAGCCGCCCGAATTTGTTGGCGCCAGACCGCCTTCACCTTCGAAATCGGTAGACGAAGGACGCCGCATGTCATCGCAGTCCCTGCGACCCGAGCTTTATCCTTCGTCATCTTATACCTACGGCAAACCCAGAGTCAAACTTGCCCCACGACCATCTCTCGACGTTGCTGGCCGTGCTCGCACAGGAACTGCTGCTGTGGGGGCTGCTTTCCGACCAATTTCGCAGATGCCCTCTGGCTTCAAGCTATTTTCCAAGGGTTCCAAAAAGGGAAAGTCCAAGGAAAATACTCTGGATCCTGCCGAACCAGCCCACCCCGACGAAACAACCGAAATCTCCTTGGCCGCCACTTCAATACCCCTACCCGACGGGGATCCCATTTCCCAGGTTGATGAACCCGTTAGGCCACACACGAGCTCAGGGCGACCCACAACGAGCTCGGGCGCTTCAATTAAATCCACGATGCCGTCCTTCACCACCCTTTCCGCCAAACAGGTCATGACGCCTGAAAAGGCGCGTCTGATGAAGGCGATGCAACTGAGGGAAAAGAAGAAGAAAACGAACCAACAACCCGCCTTTGCCCCTGTCGTCGATGCCCCTGCTGGGGAGGTCGCCTCGGAAAAGGTTCAGCCTTTCCAACACATTGAAGAGATAACCGAGCAGACCCTTGCTACCGAAGCGGATGACGACGACCGCGAGAGACGACTTTCGGTCTCCAAGGCGGACTCAGGCATTGTGGTCGACGCATCGTCAGTCTCTGTCCACACCGACGTGGCCTCTGAATTCACCCAGAGCGACTCTCACCCTGCATCGCCCATCATAGCGTCTTCCGAACCAGACCAGTCGACCAAGGCGTCATCGCTTTCCGAATCCACCGAAGAAACAGTAAAGGAGCTCGAGGAAGAGGAGCTTGATGCTGATATAAACATGGTTGAGTTGCACGTGGAAGTCGAGCCGGAGGTGGAGGTTGAGCAAGCTCCTGTTCCCGAAGAGGCTGCGGCCCCTGAATCGAACGAGCCCGAGGTCGATGTTAGTGAGAAAGCAGACGATGCCGAGCCGGTCGTTGAGCCCACCCCCGCGATCCAAGATGAAGTTATCGACTCGTCCGAAACCGCCCCGATCGAAGTCCCCGAGCCCATGGAAGCTATACCTGCCGACGAGAACTCGACCGAGGACAAGAACGAAACCCCCCCCACGGCCGCAACACAAGAACTTGCCACCGAGCAAGCGGAAACTTATGGACTTGCCCAGCCCATGGAACAACAAATTGAGACTGAGAAGGTAGCAGTCAAGGCTCAACAACCCAAATCGCCCACCTTTAGCTTACCAATCTCCAAGTTTTCCACGAGCCCAACTCAGCCAAAGGCTCCAGTCGAATCAACGAAGCCAGAACCCCTGGATGTCAGTGACACCGTTTCTGTGCCGGCGGAAGTGTCTCCCAAGTCGCCGCTGTCTCCATCTTCGCCCGGACTCAGAGTTCCTCGATCCAAGTTCTCGACGCAGGATCTCAGATCGGCTGCTACTGTCGAAGTTCCCACCATCGTGCCGCCTGAAGAACAGGCACTCACAGAGCCACTGCCTACCGCGGTAGAGGAAAACGACAGTGTTGTTGAGGAGGCTCCGGCAGCCTCGGAAGCGTGCAAGCGAAGATCGCTTGTTGAACCGATCCGGACCGACCTGGAAGTACCTGAGAAGCGTGCAGACGACGATATCTCCGACGACGAGGACTTGTTAGATGAGCTGCACTCTGCTACGGTTGAGCAAGCACAGCATATTACTGTGTCCAAATCGCCCATCACCCCAGTCTTCCCCAGCCCGACACTCCAGAACGCAAGCAGGCCGACTTCGCGCGGCGTTGTGCGCACTATCTCGAACCCGGTGCGGGGCCTCACGGCTGCGGATGTGGCTCAAGCCCAAAGCCAGAGATCAATCTCATCTGGCGCAGCCTTTTTACACAAGATTACGCAGCAGCAGGGCAACAATCATTTGAAGCCAAACCAGCCTAACAAGATTGGATCTAGCATTTCCCAACGTATCAAGGCTCTGGAAAAACTGTCCGCTCATGCACCCGGTGTTGTCGAAGCGGACACAAGCAGCAGTCTGAAGGCTCCGAGGCCATCCTCAGCGTTCTTCGCCGTTAAGAGGGGAAGCGTTCGGGATCCGCCGTCTCGTTCCCCTTCTGTTGTTGACAGGACGAGGCCCTCGACGCGTGGCGCCAGTCCCGTCCCCCCTATCATGACTGAGTCGCTAGAGTCATCTCCGGAGACTGCAGGCCGTGGTAGGTCGGGGTCTATGGCAAACAGGCTTTCAATGTTTGAGATGCCTGGCAGCAATCCGCCCAGGGGTCGCCCAGAATCCATCTCTGTCACGGCGCGAATCATCCGCGACCCTAGCCAGGCTGGTAAGGCGCCTGAGCCGCCCAAGAATCCTTCCGAGTTCGAACGACTTGATCTTAAGGTGTCACCGTTGGTTGTCGATCATCAGAAGGCCGAGCTTCCGCTCCCGCCGGCCAACCTAGCTGCAGTGGAACCCTCCAAAGAGACTATCCAGGAGCGAAGACTGTCAAAGGAGAAGCGCCGCTCTCAGTCCATCGACCCCAAGGAGGATGTCGAAGAAGCGCCGCGGCGCTCATCTCTCAGCATCATGAAGGATTTTATCAAGGACCGTCGCAAGTCGCTCACTTCACCCTCCACAGAGGCATTGACCGCCCCTCTCCCCATGTCTCCTGGCTCCAAGTCTCCTTCAAGACCACCCTCGACTCACGCAAACTCTGGTGGTCTCAGCCGCCGTCTCTCGATCAGCAGCCGTCGATCTTCCATTAGCAAGGAGAACGATTTGAGCGGTGCCATGTCTCCGTCCATGTTCACAGAGGGCAGCGGCTCTGGCGACGACAGCAAATCCACTACTAGCGACAAGAAGAAGGGCCGCGCAGGTCGTTTCATGCGTCGCCTCTCGTCATCCCTGAGCAGCGCTGGGCGTGGTAAGACCATGACCCCGACTGCCATCTCTCCCACAGTTCAGGAGGAGGACGCATCAGAGGTGGCCCGCCTCCATCAGCCCACCATCGAGGCCTTCATGGGAGATGTCAACGTCCAATTCCCAGACAATTTGCTATGGAAGCGTCGCAGCATGTGCCTGGACTCCCAGGGGTTCTTGATCTTGAGCGCCGTCGCCGCTGGCACCGCCGCCAAGAACAAGCAGCCTACTGGTGCCGGAGTCAAGAGATACCATCTCTCGGACTTCCGGGTGCCCTACATTCCCGACATGGAAATTCAGGAGCTGCCTAACAGCATTTGCCTTGACTTGGTTGAGGGCTCCGGCCTGCAGGTCGCGTGCGAAGATCGCGCCGGTCAGATGAATGTACTGCACAGTAAGTCAAGGCCTTGTCACCAAATTTCCAACCCCAAGCTAACAAATTCATAGTTCTTCAAGACGCGCATCAAAGCCACAGTTCCTTCGGGCAGTAAACTCAATGGCGATACCAACCTACATTACTTCATCAAACTTTGGGACATACTTTTGCCCGCCCTTTTCTATTATACCCCAAACTCTTTTCGACCCTTCTCAAGCACCCATTACCAACTCGCCAACCGCCTTTCCTTTTTGTCAACATACCTTCTGGCCATCGACTTTGAGTCGCACGGTTTATTGCCTGCCTCACCAGCTCCAACATACATCATACACCAAACACCAAGTGAGAGCAAGGAGCGTCCAAAACCGGATACGCTTGCTCAATTCACTTGCATACTACCCACATCACATGCCCCCCACGCCTTCTATTATCAACAGGCAATAATTTTATGGCTCAACGCCTTTTACACTCACCTTTGTGATTTTCCTAATTTTTGCACTTCGCTTCAGTCAGGAAATGATACCACCCCTCAACCGGGGATTGTTCAGTTTGGAGACGCGTCCTTTTTGGAGGAAAGGCCGGCGTTTGGATGGTATAGAACCCATTCAACGACCGGCCCGGGAGAGACGGAAGAGAAAATCTGAAAAAGAGGGATCGCTATTTTTTGCAGCATCCAATCTTTGAGTCGGTTGGCGCATTTGATGCCGCCTGTGTCTGTAGGAAACTTCTGGATTGTACATACTACCCACCATCTCGGCGAAGAACGACAGCTGGGGGCTTTACCTTTAGATAGACTCGGCCGGTCCTCTGCAGAGGCATCAAATGAGATGCAGATATCTGACTTCACGCTGGTGCTCCTTCTTCATTATACTTTGACAGTGAGATGTGTAGGCTTAAGGCTTATTTTGACAACATTCGGACTCAAGGTAGGCAAGAAGAACGAATGCTCTTGGTCTTGCAGCAACTAGCTGACTTCGTAGCGCAGAGGGGGGCATGTGATCATTTATGAAGGTCCACTTCCAGTGGAAGTGAAAGACTGATCACAGTCACAAGTAAATAGGTGGGATTCAACTGGATTCAACGACAGGATGAATCTTTTGGAGGTTGTAACTATCGCTCGAATTCCGATGGTCCGTTTATCTCAAGCGCAAGTCCCAGTAATGGTCATGCCGCCAGATCTCCAACGATCTCCAGTCATATCGGGCACTTCTGCTAATGCTCTCTCTCTTTCCACGCTCTGTAGAATACCTTAGGTCGCGGCATTAGCCTGTGCTCTTGCCATATCCATAACCGCCAATTGTATCGTCTCCAAACCGAGTACGTGCGTACGAAGTCAACCAAGGTACAACATCACTCTTTCCTCCTAGCCGGGTTTTCCTCTGTTTTCGTATCGTAGAATACCCTTTGGCATGCTTCTTGTTCGTGCTTCGTTACAGCAGGAGCGGTGACTACCTAGATTCGATGTCAGTAAATTTCATTTTGTTTTATCGTTTGAGGTTGGCAAGAAGGAGAGAAGAGGAAGGAGCGGCTATCTTACCATTCTAGATTTTTCTCCGCAAATGCCAGACGCTTGGTACAGGATTCGAAACGTAAAAATCGTGAAGTTCGACCAGGAGGTTTGAACGTTGCTTAATTGTTGTTACCGTTGACCGTACGGTTCGCGCGAGCCTGCTGACGGGCCATCTGGCGACGCATGGTGCGGTTCTGAGGGAGGCCAGTCGTCATGGCAGGCTCCTGCTGGTATCCGACACCAACGACATGGCCGTGGCGGTCGCGACGGGCACCGACGACGCGGTCAATGGCCTCCTGCGCCTCGCGGCGCTGGGCCTCGGCGCGCTCCTCGCGACCCATGAAGAACATTCTGACACGGCGGCGGATGAGGGGGATCCAGCCGCCTGCGGGACCGTACTCGCCGCGGAGGAGGCGGCCCGTCCAGACGCTGATGTCGAGGAATTCGTCGGTGAGGTGGTCGGTGTACCAGAGGCAGGGAATCCAGCAACAGCACATCGCGGAGATGAAGAGGCCCAGGGGAATGGAGAGAGCGACGGCTTTGGCGATGTTCAGCAGCCAGTTGCCCGAGGTGGAGAGAACCCAAGAGCGGAGGGCTTCAACTTCGGTGGTGGTAGGCATTGCTGCGGTTGCTAGGGAAGTTGTCGATGATTTAAGGAGGCCTGTTGAAGTTGAGATTGTAGTTGTTGTGGGTGTATTGATTGAGGGAAGGTAAGGGCCCTCGCCCAGCCAGAGGTTATACATCTTTCGAAAGGAGGGTGGTAGGCAGACGGGCAGCCGGTAATTCGAGCAATGAGAGACGGGAGGAACCTGAGGCTGAACTTTGAGTTCGTGAGTATCGTGGGTATCGTGAGCGCAAGGGCGGTGCCTGCCGACTGTGGTGTTTAGGGCTTCTGATGGGAAGTGCAGACGTTCAATGTATGTTTTGGAACCAAGGCCTTTGTCTAGAGATAGGTGTTAACTATGATCGGAGTGATAAGTTAGGATGACTGGCGCAATAACTAACAGCTTTTGATGAGAACAACACTGATTCTTTGAGCAAGCACAAGAGAAGCGGGATTTGATTGTTAGTGTTGGAGCGGAGGATTCGAGCAAATGGTATCGGCTTGTTGGAGCTAGCTGATGACCAGCACGCTGTCGATGGGCGATCTGTGTGTCTGTGGGTGTTGGTGATTATGAAAAGAACACGATCTGGGTGGAAGGAAAGGGAGGTTTGGTATTTTTTGGGTACTCAACCGTGAGAGTAGAATCTGTGTGTGATGGAAGATAGAATACTTTGGACGAAGAAGGAACCAAAGATGGAAGAAAGGGCAGGTAGGATACAAAGTGAAGAGGCAAGAACGACCATCGCCCCCCTAGCCTCTTGCTTCATTTCCTATCAGACCAGATCCTCCAGTCAATACACTATATATACGAGTGAAAATTGTAGATTAGTGCTCGCGATAGACAGACATCTATCAAGTCAGAGGACTTTGCTCCATTTCTTAAGATCATAAATGATGCCGATTCTCCTCCAGAAACACAGAGATAGCCTCCCACGCAACACCCCTCCGCATCCCCGTCTCATCATCCCATGATGAATGAACCCCAATGAGCGTCCCCGTCTTCCTGTCGACTAACGGTGCGCCGCTGTGCCCCCAGTACGTCCAGCATGAATGCATCAGCGCCCCGATATCCGAGTTATCCTGCGGGTCCTGACCCTCGGCACAACCCCTGAACGTGCCGGTGCTAAGGTGGAGGACGTCGTAGTCCGTCTTCGTTCCTGGTAGAGCGGCCTCGAAATCCTCACTGCCCGGGTGGCCGACGCAGATAAGTCGGGCTTTCAAGGCTGGTGGTGTGGAGGAGAGGGTTATGAAGGGGAATCCCCCTGAGGGTGGTGATGATGAAGGTCCTGAAGATGGAGGAGGCTGTTGGGCTGATATGATTCTCAGCAGGGCCAGGTCTCTTCTGCCGTCCCAGGCTAGAGCTTTGGCTTCGACTACTTGACCTGAAGCAAAGAGGAGCCAGTGGCTTTTGGAGTCATCAAAGTCGTCGATAGTCTCCGCGATGCAGTGGGAGCAGGTGAGCAGGATGCCGTTGGGTGAGATGCAGACCGCTGTGCCTGCTTCCTCCTGGGCAAAGACCAAGGTTGCCATGACTGATGATGCTAGATCTTTTCTTTTCATGTCTTCTGGGACATCAAGTGGTGTCTCTATCAACAGTTGGCGCTTCTTTAAGAGCAGCTGGATGCTTTTCTTCCCCAGGTCTTTGAGTTTGAGGCCGACGTGGAGGATTTCTGGAAGGATATGCAGGCCTTCCGCCATCATGCCTGTCGTATCGTGTTCAGGTTCTATGATAAAACAGTCCGGATCATTGTTTGTTATCTGAGATGGTCTTGAAGAGGCGGCCGCTGCGTTGTCCATCCTCGCTGTTTGTCTCGGTCTCCTGCGTGAGACTGCAGGCTTTTGAGGTACTTCCTCCATTATCACAACGCTGGGGAGGGGGTTCAGTAAGGATATGCACCAACTGTCAAAATCGCCAGAGTATGAATCTCTATAAGTTGATGCTTAAATACCGATCCTGGCGATAAAGCATCTGGGCTGCAGCATATAATTCGGAGGGCGGTGAGGCTGCTGCCTAATTTTGCCGGGATTAACTAACCTCAAAGTCACTTACGTCCGAGTGCGAAGTCCAAGTAGACATCAAGCATTACTTTTTGTATTAAAAATTGAGAGCATCGTTAGCATCTCATTGATAATTGACCTGCTTCTCTGTCCATTCGTGTACGAGATTCTTATAATCCTCTGGGCCGTATGGCTCAGATGCCTCGGCAATCATGCCATTCTTCCTGTACACCTTCAACCCCAGATCGCCCACCAGCTGGTCGATATACGGCACAGCATCAAAGACAAAGTCCGGGAACTTGTCTCCGTGCCCGGCGGGGTACCTCCATTTGCAAAATCTACTGTGAAGTGCAGCCTCGTACCGCAGCTTGTCCACCGTCCCAGCACTTGTCGTGGCCATGGTCACTGAGGGCATTTTGTCATGGAAGTAGGCATCAATCCAGAGTGATTGCACGTGGGAGATCATCGCCACGGTGAAATTCATCAACATGCCCGCGAAGGCAATGTCGCGGTGCGCCAGCAGCTTGGCCGACGGTGGTACCATGAAGCGATGAAGCACGTACGGCGTGAGGGGCGTATACGGGTTGACGGCCTCTTTCGTCGAGACACCTTCGTCCTCGACCAGCGGCTTCAGCTTCTCGTTCTGAATAGGCTGGTCCTTGAGACGCGGCCATTTTTCGAAAATCTCCTTGTCGATAGTCTCGATCATCTCGGCGGGTGGGAAACTCTCCGCAGAAGGCTTGTGTGGGAGACCGAGCTCCTTGTCGATGCCCTCAGGTAGGAACTTGATGGGCTGGAACTGCTTCCATCCGGTCGCGCAACACAGAGCGTCTGAATCCAGGGACGATCCATCGGAAAGGTGCACGGTGCCTGGCGACAGCTTTACGAGGTCAGCAATGTGCACCTTTACTGTTCCGTTGCGGATGAGATCGAAGAAGTCCGTCTCGTAGTTCAGAATAGAGAAGCTGGACGCTGTGAACATGGCCTCGCTCCACGGCTTCAGCTTCTTCAGCTCCGGGTCTGAGTCGAACTTGTTCAGGGTGATGACGTCATTGCCGAGGACGCTCCAGAAGTTATTGGTGATGCCGCGGCCGATTGCCGTGCCGTGGTAAAAGTTCCTCGTCTTGACGTATCCGTCGGCGTCGCCCCATGAACAGGGACTGAACCATGTGAGGGCTCGGGTGTGGACGAGCTTCTCGAGCCACTTCTTCAAGGGCGTGACGTAGGGGGGAGCCATCCATACTGGACCATGTCCGGATTCTATGCCATGTTAGCGCATTGGTTTAGTGATCATGAGGTGGTCATTTCGGGATACCTCTAATCACCCAATTCACCTTGATGCCCTCGATCGCGTAGGCATAGACAAGATCCCACGCTGATTTGGTACCGCCAAAGACCGTCACAGACTTGGCTGAGTCCAGGGTGTCTGCATGCTGAAGAAAGTCCTTGCCGTGGAATATGGGGGCTCCAAAGGTCTCTTGACCCTTGAAGTCGGGCAGGAAAGCTTCTGAAGTGAGGCCAGTAGCAACGACCAACTTCTCCGCGAGGACCTGCACCTCTCCGCCGTCCGTACCATCCACTACCGTCAGAATCCAGCCGCCGCCGTCTTGATGCTCTGCCGAGAGAAGCTTGTGCTGGAAGCGAATCTTGTCCAATATGCCAAAGGTCTTGGCGTACTTGGTCAGGTAGTCATGCAAGACTTGGCCGGGAATGTGATCTCCGGGCAAAATGCCGAAAGTCTCCGGGTCCATGGGGAAGTCGGGGTACTCGTAAGTTCCGAGCATGTTGTTGCTCTTCAGCCCCGGGTACAGGCGGTGCTCGGCCCATACTCCGCCGGCGCTCGAGGCTTGCTCAAAGAGTGCCAGTGAGTTTTGGGGATGGAGCTGGTGGTGAGTCTTGGCCGCCGCTAGGCCGAACCATCCTACAGCCACAGCTTCAGATTGTGACCTTCATTTAGCGGTTTGGCGGGATGTTACTTACCGGCTCCGATGACGACGAAGTCGAGAGTCTCCATTGAGTAGAGCAGCAGAGTTTCCGGGCCCCCGAGGTCGATGCTTCTGAGACAATTGGACGACTAGTCACCAGCGTGGAAGGGCCGAACACCAAAACTTGTTCGAGGCGTTTATTTCGAAGCGAAGATCCCACCGGTGCGGGAAAAGGGTTGGGCCTGCCTTCCTCTCTTCCAATTCGCGAATAATAAGCACTAGACCTTCTTTCAAGAACCCTGGCCTGCAGATGAAAATGGGAATATTGGGTCCTGCCTGCTGCATCTAATCTGGCGTTGGTTGGTGTTCTGGCATCTGCATCCTTCATGGAGTTGGGTACCATATCCGAATAAGGTACTCAACTTGAGTGTTGATTCGTCAATGGCAGGGAATTCTGCATGGCCCCCTGCTTCTTTCCATCGCCCACGGCATTCATCAATTCCTCAAGAAGTTGTCCATCAATTTGCCGGCCGGCAGCTTGCAGCGGAGCACCATTGTCCGAATATTAGCCTCCTCTTAGCTGACAAAATAGTGGCACAAGTAGAATTTCAAGACTCGAAGGATTCCGTATGAGGGGGCTTGACGGGCATTGTGCTCAGGCACAGTCAAGGATGCCCTGACATCCAAACACAACCGGACTCGTTCCCCGGATGACAAGTTACTGTTAGCACAAAGATAAAGACCCACTGAACTAGATGGGATGGCAGCAGGGCCGTTGACTCGTGGTAGACTCGTGGCGGAGGAAGACCTGTCACGTCTTTTACGCCGGTTGCGCGATACTGACAATTTGACAAGGAGGCTGTCGATTGCAGATTGAATTACTCCGTAAGTCGGGTTGAGAAATTTGTGTTCATGACCAGTATACAGGTAGACAAGATGCTCTTTGACCGTAAGATGGTGAAGTTCTGAAGTCAGAGCTCGTACCGAAACAATGTTTCTTCAGGACAGACCGGTGGCGGCACCGTCACGGTGGTACGTAGTTTGATAGTTCAACACAAGTTGAACCTATCAGACGGTAAAGCGCAACAAAGTCATCAATGTTCAGGACGCGACCAAGACCACTAAAGCCTTTCTGTCCGACTGTCGCTCTTCTATTGGAGATTCCTTCAACGCAGGTACCACTCGTCATTCTGAAGATATCCACAGTCGTTGACACGGCTCGCAAGGGTACTATCCCCGGCGCCGCGCTGGTTGACCCCATGGGCTGGCCCACGTCCATGTAACCCTCGTGAGTCAAGGCCGTGCCCCTGTTCCCCATAACGATTCTAGCCAACGACGGACTCACAATTCGACAGGCTTCGGAACTTCCGTAATATCAGATATGGTGTAAATGATCACTCTCCTTGGACACGAGGCTCACGTCAAGATTTCTGGCAAAACACCATGAAGATATCATCGGTTTTCAGGTCTAGAATAGGGAAGAAGCAATCAATTGAGGACTCAGAGATAAGTTAAAGTCTATTTCTTGGCCGGGGTTCGCGCAGGATAGCTCCAGTGCTGTTGGACAAACCTGGATTTGCTTTCGAGATGGTCGTGTTTGCCCTGCCATTACCCTGAGCTAATGATCTGCCGACATTGTACAGGTGCATCAGCACGGGGTTGGTCGTATTGGGCATCATTCTGGTGAAAGGGGCCGACGCTTTACCATATCTGTAGACTAGACTGTCGAAGAGCCGCATCTATGGCGGCCAGAAGTCTGCCAGCTTTCGATTAAATGCCATCGAGACAAGATATCCGTATCCGTAGAAGGGGATGCTTCCTCGGGCAAGTGGGACTGACAACCGCCGTTAGTGTTTTTGGTGCTTCTCCTGAACATGGCAGCAAGCCCATTTCGGCAACTTATCATTATGTGGAATAGCCCATATGCTGTCTCAGCCTCTCGGCTTGACAGCTAATTGCCTATGTACTCCTTACAAAAATGTATCCGTACGAAGTACTTCGTGCAGCAGAAGCAGGCAATTGATCGTTGGCAAAAGTCCCATTGAACTGGCCGGGGAATCCAAGTCGCTGGCCCGGGCTTCTTATCGTCCGAACTTCTCACGCTTCTTCGTCTCAATCATCGCCATCATCATCATCACCGGTTCCGTCAGCCGTGTGTTACCAAACCACCACTAGCTATCCGTACGTACGGATATTTTTGGGTTTGCTAGGGCATGTGGTTTATGTTTCAGAGGGGAACGGATATGCACGTAAGCGCACCCTTTCCCAGCACTTCCCACGAGCCGCCCATGCCGCTTGTGTCCAAGTCCAAGTCTCCGCGGTGACGGGGGAATGCGACATAAGCATCGACGTACGTACGTCTCTTGTACGATTCTGGGACCCCGGCCGCTTGCCCTTGCAAGGTTCGTTCTGCAGCGGCTGAGATCTGCAAAGCTGAAAAGCAGGGCCCCTCGACGACCTAATCCCCAAGAGTCTTATCTGGGTTTCACTGCTATTATACCTTGCCTATTCTACTCCACCACCGTATCCTGCTAGCATTACTCTTCAAGACGGGCTTTTCCCCTTCTCCTTCACACTATGCGATTCGACCCGTCGTCTTCCTGCATCACGCGGGGTACTCAGTTGACATGATCTCGGCAACATGTCTGAATTCTCGACAGAAGCTTTCGCGCTTCTTGGCGTGGCCATCGCCGTCATCTTCTTGAGGACTTATGCCCGCATCAGCGCTGTTGGCTTCAAGCGTCTGCAGGCAGATGACTACCTCATGATACTTATCATCGTCAGTCTCTCGACAGCTGGTAAATGGTGTTGGGATTGAGGCACTAATGGGAATGCATAGTTCACGTACTCGGCCGAAACTACTTTAGCGTACAGCGTCGGAGCGCATTGGAAGGGACTCGCCAACAATAGCATGACGGACGAGGAGCGGAAGAATCTGGACCCAAACAGAGAAGAATATTCGACAAGGTAGGGCGATGGTCGGTGTATCGTTTTGAGGGATTGGTCTAACATGACACTCGCAGGGTCAACGGATCGAAGACACAAATAGCGGGGTGGATTACTTACAGCTGCCTCGTCCTCTGGCCTGCAAAAGCTGCGATGTGCACTTTCTACGTGCGCCTTACAGTAAGCAGTGCTTGGAAGAGACCATAAGTCACAACTCAAGCTGACGCATGAATTAGGAGGGCTTGCATAACTTTCGCAAACAAATTATCACGGGTTTCGTTCTGATCGCGATGACATGGCTGGCAGTGTTCTTCTCTATCATCTTCAGCTGCTTCCCGATGCGCAAAAACTGGCAAATCTATCCAGACCCGGGCAGTAAGTACCGTACAACTCTTTTCAACGCCCACGACTAAAGGTTAGCCAGAATTTTGCCAGCCGGCTATCTCAAAGGTTAACATCATCGTCACCGTCTGTCTCAATGTCATCACGGATTTCTACCTGCTAAGCATACCGATACCAATGCTGTGGAGCGCCAGGCTACCCCTGAGACAGAAACTCGGCCTCATCGTCCTGTTCTCCGGAAGTATCTTCGTAACCATGGCCGGCATCCTCCGCTGCGTGCTCATCATCACGGTAAGCCAGCACCTCATGAGGATTCTTCAAGGCTCCGATCGCTGACCTATGCGCATGGTAGAACCCTGTTACAGGCGCGCAGCAAGCAGGTTCCTGGGCCGTCCGCGAGACCTTTGTCGCAATCGTCACCACCAATATCCCGATGATCTTCCCCCTACTCCGTCGCTGGCTTACACCCATCTTCGGATCCATCTCGAGTACCCTATCACGAGGCGGCACCAACAACAAATACGATAACCCCAAGCGATCCGACCTACCGGCGCCCGGGAGCATCATGCTTGGAAGTGTGACAGAAGGAAGCAGTAACAAGAAGAAGAATCGTCCGCCGTATACGCAATATCCGATTACAGAAATCACCAGGTCCGGGAGCGAGGAACATCTAAACAAGTCACCGCCTTTGCCGGGAGGCATCAGCAAGAATGTGGAGATACACATCAAGGAGTCGAAAAAGGCCAGTGAGAGAGATACATCGAGCACAGACAGCAATATCGAGGTCCGAGACGCTTATTTTACGGTTGAGGTGAATGGAGTTGAGAGACCAAAAGCGACGAGGAGCAAGAGCTATCGAGAGAGCATGAGATCTACGTTCTCGGTGGGTGGTCATAGAAAAGGCGACAGCATTGTATAACATGCCATAATATTGAAATATTTCACAAGAATACTGCGGCACTCACTCTTGGAATGCTTGGGGATGCTGATGGCGTCTGTGACCGTTTTATCGTAGGTGAATTACCCCAGGGTCGACTAGGTACGAACAACTGTTGCTTCGCAGTGCGTTGTTCACGATCAAGAACGCCACAGTGAAGCATTCACTACAGGTCAATACGCCAACGAAAACAGATTCAGCAAGGGACTTCCATCTATACTATTTGATCCGGTCTGACTATTGACTCTTCTCTTCGAACGTTACTAAAATACTGCTTCACTCCCCCCTCTAACGTCATCCTCCTTTTATACAATCAAGCCAAGATCCTCCCACTCTTGAACCACTATGCTCCACAATCTATAGTGACTAAGTGTGAAATAGCATATCTGCTGTTCCTCCAACATCTCAGAAAACGTAGTGGTTCTCGCGGCAAAACGCACAAAACCTCCCACCGTCAACCAGCACCACTCCACCATTTCGATCCAAAAGGTTCCTACAGAAACACTCTCCGCAACGACACCGCTGAGGCTGCCACGTAGAATCATCAACGCGCAACCGCAACGCTTGCAAAGCCGGATCAGCGAGAGCCCTAGCCTGAAGGTGCGGGTTACCCGCCTGGCGACTGAGGCGGAACGGCAATGCGGTCAGATGGGCGGGTACGGAGGGCGGATGCGGCGATGGAGATGGGGCACGCTGGCGGCGCCGGGGAGGTGTTGGGGGCCGAGCTATTGCGCTGCGGTCGTTTATGTCCTCTGAAGCTGGGGATAGGGATGGGGAGGTGAGAGGGGATGATCCGGGTGTTGAGCGGACGTAGTCGGGGGCTCGGTTCCGATGCCGTCGGCCGTGATATAGTTCTGCTATGGA